GGCACTGATGTTCACAGCACGTCCCCACCCTCCACCTCTCCATCCCCACCTCCCAAGAACTGGGAGATCTATAAAAAGCCAGTCACCACAGATGTTAAAAGTACAAGGCTACCATTGGCCTTGCTCAGGACACAGATTGGCTGGCATGCCTGACTTGAAGGAACAAACAGGACACAAGAAAACTTGCTGATGGTGGCGAAAAAGAAGCAGGCTGACCCATCTGTTAAGAAAATATCTTGGCCAAACAACTCACAAGGTTTCTTTTAGAAACTAAGCAGACCCCACAAAATAGGGGCCTGTGTGGGCTAAAAGGCGTGTGCTGGGACCATAAATAAACTGCCAAGATGTCTATCCATTATAGAATCATAAATAAATTGTATTTTCTAACAGCAATGAGAATGCACAAACTACAGCTACATACAACTATATGGATGAATCTCACAAACAGATGCTGAATAAAAGAAGCCAGACACAAAAGAAAGAACATCATATGTAAAGATTAAACACAGGGAAACTATGGTGTTCGAAGTCAGGTCACCCTTGGGGGCAGTAACTGGAAGAAAACAAGTTGGTTTCTGTCATGTTCTTTTTCTTGATCTGCTGCTTACATGCACATATGCTTACACATATGTTCACTTTGTGAAAATTCATTGAGCTGTGCATTTTTTCAGTAAGTATCTTAGATTTCTATAAAAAGTGAAAACAACAACACAAGCAGATCCTGGAATCTTGACACAGTGGGTCCCAGGGACAGCAGTGAACCAGGCAGCACCCAAACGGGGACCAAACGGGGCAGACAGTGATGGGGCAGTGACTGAGGAGGTCCGAGATGGTGGTGCAGGAGGCCCGCAACTGCCCCTCCCACAAGCAAACTCAAGCAGAGTCGTAGAGCCAGAACAATTACTCCTGTGAGACGACGGAGGGCTAAGTGAACAGCGCCTGACAACCAACCAGCGAAAGAGACTGAGCTGGGAAGGCTAGGACGCCAGGGAGTGTCCCCTCCACCCGAAGGCAGAGGGAGCCATCTGGGCTGAGGAGCCCCTGGGCGCCATTGTTCCTACAACCCTTCTACTTCGATATTCATTTATCTGGGTACTTTGGCCTACCTGCAAGATCCATGGTGCATCCCCAGTTACACTGCCTGGAGCCTTTTTCTTCTCAACAAAGGGAACAAGCAAGAATCTGAGGGCTGCATGCCACACCTGGCCCACCCTCAGAAGCCAGAGCTGGTCCGGCCTCAGGCTGGTACCCCAGGTGCTGCTGGGAGCACATGCCCAGCTCCAAGCGGTGGCCCGAAGCCGCAGCGCTGACTCTGTGGGGAGGTCACCTTTACATCAGACCTCTGTCTAATGAACAAGAGAGGGGCCGTGTAGGGAAGTCTGGGAGCTGTGGGGAGAAGATAGGTTCCAATTTGTGGCCCAGGGGGTTCTAAGGAAAGTCCACTCTTTGCTCTACCAAAATCTGCCCTAGGGGGCCAGGTGGTCCTCCTGGGTCAGACATGTCCAGGGTCCCGGGCTTGGCCCTGTGTTCTGCCCCCTGACCAGGGTTCACGAGGACAGCGAAAGGCTGGTTGGACTTTTGGAAGAAACTGTGGCCAACCTGAAAGCAATTAAGGGTGAACAAGGAGGGATTCTGGCAAAGCAAGGGCTATGGGCACCCTCTCAAGCTCCTTCGGGACCTAAAGAAAAAGGTCTAACCAGGAGGCATAACCACTGGATTCTCACAGGTTAGGGTCAATCCTTTTTCTGTCTATTTCTTAGATCTGCAACCTTGAGAAGTCATTTAAATTTCCCAAGTTTCATTTCTTCCTTTTTAAAACGTGGATAATACCACAGTACCTACCACTCTGGTTGGGAAAGGGTTGGAAAATTAAGTAAGGTGATATATATTCCATTCTTAGCACATCTCTGCCCTTTGCATAGGCTAAAATGCAGCTTTTTTCAAAGTTACTGTTAGTGGGAGACTCTGCAGCTCCTGGTGGAGGATGCAGTGAGGAAATGCTTGTGGATCTTGGGTTTTTTATCAATGGATCACTATTTCTTACTATTGTTTTCCCTAACACAAGAGACACAGTGTAACACTCACTAGGCGAAATACAAACCAATCTAAAAACAAGTCAAGATTTTGTTAACTTATCCAAACAAGAAGTAAATACATTAAAATTTTTAACTATATGAACACAGGATTTTTCCTTTGGGGGAAAAGGAATTTTTTAAAACAGACAAAGTAGCTGGGGATAGGAATTATAATGGCTGGCATTTATTGAACATTTGCTCTCTGTCAGGCATAGTTCCTAGGGTTTAGCATTTTCACTCTTCATGACAACCTCAGGAGGTGGGCAATGTTCTCTCTCCTCTGTGGTTGGGAAGTTGGGACTTAAACCTGGGCTAAGGCACTCAGCACCACTCTCCACAGAGCCCCCTGACAGAACCTGATCCCAGATCCTAGGGTGTGAGGGTATAGCCCTTGAATGGTGGGTCTGAGGTGCTGGCAGGACCTTCCGGTGGTGCTGTCTGCCAGAAGTTGAACATGTAGGACTGATGCTAAGGAGGGGTCAGATATTTTAACTACTCGTCAAATATTTATTGAGAGCCTATGATGTGTCTGGCACTGCTCTGGGCTGATAAAACAGGCAAAAACCCTTGCTCTCATTGAGCTGAAATTCTAGTTGAGGGAGCAGCTAGATACTAACATAATAAGTAACATGTACAGTATGTTAGACAGGAATAAGTTCTGTAGAGGAAAATCAAAAGACAAGAAAAGGATTTGGAGAGCCAAGGGTGGGTGAAAATTTACTTAGGGTGCTCAGGGAAGGCCTCGGTCAGGGGACATTTGTGTGACACCTGAAGTTAGGTAAGGCAGTAGGCCATGCAGCTATATGGGGGAAGAACATTCTGGATGGAGGGAACAGCACTACAAAGGTCCTGGAGAAGAGGGGGCAATTGACATGTCTGAGGAGAAACAGGAGGCCATTGTGTCTGCACCAGTGGGATGAGAACTAGTAGGTCGGGGACTAAGCTGGAGAGTGGCAGGAGGTCCAGGCCTTTAGGGGGAGAAATGGGGAAGGTTCTGAGCAGACCAATTACACGACCTGATTTATATTTAAAAGGAACCACTCTGGCCACTCCATGAACAATGAATGTTGTAGGATGTGGGAGAAGCAGGGAGATCACTTTAGGTACCAAATGCAGTAACTTGGGTAAGGCACGATGGTAGGTTGAAACAGAGTGGTAACTGGACATAATGAGGAATGGTTAGATTCTGGACACATTTTGAGATTTCTGGAAGTCTTCAGAAGCCTTTGAGGCTATCCTTTAAGAACTATTCCAGTGTGGGCCCCGATCCTAATAACCTTTCTGGGAAGGCCCTCTCTTAATGCCTCCAAAATAATAGTACCCATCACCCACGGAACAAAGCCTAAGCCAAGTGTCATGGCACTGTGCTAACTTCCCCTCTGTCCCCATGGATTCTGGACCCCTCTCTATGATGTGGAGAGCAGCAGCTAATGAGCATTGCAAGCTTTTCTACTTCCCCTCAATGTTTCTTTTCCCTTGGGATGGAGGCAAATGCCACTAGGAGCAATGTTCCAGTTCCTATTGCTTCATTGAAAACCACCCCAAAACTTAGTGACATAAAACAATATTATGCTCTTGGATTTTCTGGGTCAGTGACTCAGACAGGGCAACATGAGGATGGCTTGTCTCTGCTTCATTATGTCTGGGGCATCAGCTGGGAAAACTCAATAGCTGGGGGAGCTGGAATCATCTGGAGGGATCCTCACTCTGGCTTTCGGGATTGGCTGTTAGCTGGGACCTCAGCTGGCTGTTGGCCAGAACATCTTCACACAGCCTCTGCCTGTGGTGTGTATGTGGGTCCCATGGTGGTAGCGGCTTACAATGCTGTGTATGCACATGCATGAGCCCCAGACCTGCAGCAGCCCCTTGTAAGGAGGGGCGATGCCCCCAAACAAGGTCAGCACACAAGATGGTAAAGCTGAGAGATGGAAGGAACCAAACCACTAAATTAATCTGGAGTACTCTACCTCCAACTTCCTGTTCGGTGAAAGGAAATAAATTTTCTGTACAGTTTAAACCAGTTTGAACTGGAGTTTTCTATTATTGCTGTTAAAGGTAGTATAACTGACACAGGTCTCCTAATCCGCCCCTTCTCTGTTGGACTGTGCACTCCTGGGAAGGGAACAAGGGCTGGAGCCACCACCAGTGACAAATGAAATCCTGCTGCCAGCAAACAGCTGCTGCCTCCGGAGCAGCAGCTAGGGCTAGAGCCCTATACCAGCCTCTGAGCGAAATACTTGGCACCTTCTACTGTAAAGGCAAGGAATCCGTTCTCTGCGATCATGAAGAATGTATGCCCATGTAACTTGATGGTGGCAAACAAAAAGACAAAAACTACCCTAAAAGGGAGAAAACCCTCCAGAGGTGGTGCTATCACCGACTCCAATCCCAAAGGAGCTACTTTCCTTAAACCTGTGTGTGATGCGAGCAGATGCTGTCAATGCTCCAGACACATCCCCAGGATCCTCCGGTCCACTCTGGCCCACCTCGGACTGCAAATCTGCTTGCCTGTGCGTGGGACTTGTTTCCAGAACTGTGCAAAGCCCCTCAGCTCACATGTAAGGAAGTTTCAGAAGTGCTGGAATTAACACCCCAGGGAGCAACTTGCAACATGTGCTCCTGGAATATGTGTGAATGTCCTAGCTCTCTCAATCTCTCACTCTCGGTGGAAGCATTCTGAGGTGTATGCCTGACACTGCTTTCCAGAGCTCCTCACAGGACCTGGCTCTGTCGGCCAGCTGTGATGGCTGGTGTACTAACACATTCTTTGTTGACTGCTTTCCTTCCCTGCATCACTTTCCTACCGGTGACCCTGGCCCCTCCCAAATCAATTATCTGTGCTCAAATCTGCTTCTGGGAAAGCCCAGACTAAGGTAGTGATCCCAGAGGGGTGGTCAGGGGAGGAGAGAAAGGGGGTTAACAGGGATGTCGCTGATGGATTCAGTGACAATCCAGTCACTATTGGGAAATGCTGGAGGCATGAAACTGAGGCTTCTGACAAAGGCCAACTGGGAGATGAACCTCCTAAGTGTTCAAGGCCCCCTGGTTGATCATGAGTGCCCAGCTGGTAAGAACACCACAAATATGGTTCTGATTGGATTCCAGTCCAGCAGCACCCTTGGGTGGTATTTCATATGAGTGATCCACTCATCCACTCAGCCCCCTCTTCCCGCAGCTGAGGGAACCTCTCAGCAGTGATCAGCATCAAGAATGGATCCTCTTTTGTTCTTATCCATTCAATGTGTTTATTTTCAAGATTGCGTTTGTGGAAAGCATTTAAACAGCGCCGTTTAGAAGAAAACAAAAGTCACCAGATGGAAAAATAGAATAAAGATTATGCACACACAAAAAATTCCCCAAGCAACACAGGCAGGGTGGCGGGAGTCATCGTTGTCCTGCTGCTGTGGAAGAATGCAGCTGTGTTGGAAAAGCGATCTGCTTCTGACAGCCTAGAATTTTCAAGAGAGAACTGAACACAGGTCAACAGAACTCTGTGCTGCAATTCACTTCTTGAGGAAATTTGACAAACCTTCCTTCTTCCCTCTAGTAAGGACAGATTACCATATGTATTGAATTATAAAGTATGCACAACTTTTTCTTGGAATAATGCCTTCCAGTTGACCCATATCTTATTTGAACAGACCTTATAATCAAGAACCCAAGAAACAGCCTTAGTTGCAGGCTGGCTGCAAAGCCAGAAGGATATGAAAATAAGAGAGGTGGCAGCTATTTCCAAGGCTGAGACCAAGACCACCTCCTACCCCTTTAAGAAATCACAAGAACCAAACTGCCTTCCCCCTCTCTCCTACCCTAACACCAAATAACACAGTTTTTACCTATACTAGGGGTTGAAAAACTCCAGCAATACTCCAGGGGTGGCAAGAAAGGCCAACTTTCATTCATAAGTAAGCCCTGGTTATTACCTCATCCTGGTTTTTCATTCTCCCAGTGGCCAAGGAGAAGAAAAAGAGCAGTGTGAAAAGGTGGTAGAGTCAGGACTGGTGTTCTAGGTCCTGTGAGGAGGAGTCTTGACATGAATTTTCTCTGGACTGATCTTAACTGGATGCCAGCCCTCCCAGACAGCCATGATGGATGTAATGTGTCTGGGCATTCCCCCACCTGCCTCGAAGAGGAATTTGGTCACAGACCACAGCAGAGGGACATTATGTAACATGGTGCCCCAGCAACAGGAGGGGAACATTGGCTGTGTAGTCAGGCAGTCTCCACCCTGCCACTTACCAGCTGTGTAACACTCAGTATGTATTTAACTTCTCTGGCCATCACTTTCTCCATCTGTAAATAGTAGCTCCTGCCTCAGATAGTTAACTTGAGGACTTAAAGAATATAAAACACGAGTGCCTAACACATCAGAAGCTCTCTATAAATGGCAGCTCCTATTACTGCTGTGGGAATATGGCTGTGGTTTCCAACACTGTGAGCAAGTTCGGGCTAATAACAGCTGTTTCCACAACTTCCATTTTTAGGGTCTGTTAACATGATTGTTAACTGTGGGTATTAGCACAATGATGACTATTAGAGGACCCAACTGTGATTTCGCATTAAGAAACCAATCACATAAGGAAAGAATGGCACGTTGGGCACTGGGTGGGTGGTTTGGACAGCCGGAGAGTGTATGGAAAGCTACTAGAAGGTCTGGCTGTCATCAGGAGGACTTGCTAGGGAAGCAGCACATTCAACCCAGCAAAGATCAGGAGCCAGAGGAAAAGGAAGGCTCCGACAGACAGAATTCTGAGTCCTGGAGCAAAACCAGGACACGCCATCTTCACTAACAACAAAGTCACAGGAAAGAGATTTTACAGAGGCCAAGCCCCTCTGAGGAGAAAAGAGGTTGAAGACTACAGGCAAAGACCAGAGCCATCTCTGTTTCATACCAGTATCCTCGGCAGGCCAGGCCTCCCTGAGCTCAGCCACGACAGTGGGTGCAGTGCCCCTGGGCACCGGTCCCAGCCCTCCTCCATTACAATTTGTGTTTCTAAAGCATTAATCCAAATCTTATTCAGTAATAACAAGCGCTTTCTTTCCCACCCTTTTCAGACACATAGGATGGACATGCATGGCTGGGAAATGCCAAGAGTGCCCTAGTGAGAAACCTCCAGAAATGAGGTGTATTCTTTGAGGAAGACAGGTAAAATAGAGATTTTGGTGGGGCTGTAGATGATGTGTGAAGATGGGCATAGCAGAATACCGTGATGTGATCATGTGATTTATGATAAGAAATTTAAATTTGTTCTTCAACCCCGTTTCTAGCACAGAAAAACCCTTGGACTTTCCTAAGTGATAAACACAATAAAAGTGGCTTGATGTTTATAATGAACCCCTTTCAATCACAGCTGAGTTTGTGTTAATGAGCTGACTTTGAGAAAGCACCCAAGGTTGGGGGCTGTTGGCCAGGAGAATCAACCATGTGATTAGAGGGGTAGAACTTTCAGTCCCACCCCAAGTTCTGCGGAGTGGAGAGGGGATGATGATGGAGTTCCTTCAACAATGGGCAATGATTTAATCAGTCATGCCTGTGTAACCAACAGGAAATTGAGGATGTGATGGTATGAGACATTTGAGGCTAGGTCATAAAAGACATGGTGGATTCTGCCCTGCTTCTCTTGGGTCACTTACTCTGGGAGAAGTCAAATGTCATGTTACAAGGGCATTCATAAAGCCCTGTGAAAAGTCCATGTGTCAAAGAACTGCACAGCCCCCACCAAAAGCCAGTATCAACTTGCCATGTGAATCAACTCATGGAAGCAGATTTTCTAGTTCATCGAGCCTTCAACATCTTGACTATAATGTCAACAGAAACCTCAAGTCAGAACCATCAGGCAATATGCTCCTGAGTTTTTGATGCACATAAACTGCGAAAAAAAAATGAGGTTGTTATTTTAAGACACTAAATTGTTATACGACAATACATAACTAATACTTAGACATACTCAATCCCTACCTGATACATAATGTAAGGGTTCAACTTGGAATGACCACCTTTGACACTTAGGTGATTTATACTCTCCAGCCTGCCAAACTCGCATCCTCAGAGGCACAGCTTCCCTCCATCTCTTGCCACCTTTTCTTGGACTTACATGAAACAGTCAGCACCCTTCTCCTGTGGATGAGGCACTGATGCTAGGTGTAATCAAAGCAGCAAATCTCTGTTCCACTTCAGGAGTGGTCTCTGCTAGCTCTTCTCCCAACTTGCCCAAGTAAAGTCTTAATCTCTATACCACCTCACCCCTAGGAATTCACAGTCCTGTCATCTATTATAAAGTGGGCCTACTGGTATTCTGGGCCATGGAAAATGTACATGGGCATTAGCTGGGAGCTGAGACAATGAGTCCCTTAGCCAACTGCTATCCTTATGGGCCTCTCTCAGTAGATGACACTTGCTCACTAAAACTGGCTCCCTCAGGACTCCCTGGAACAGAGAAATTGAGCTGGAAAAGATATAACTCCTCTCCCTGGTATTTCTAGTGCAGCTATTCTCCCCAAAACTGTGGGAGTTGTCTCCAATCTGAGAGGTTGGAAAATGTGCTCACACGATGCTTGAAAATTCTTTTTCTTATACTGAGATCTTTGAAAGTGAGATCCAGGATGTGCTTCTGCTTTTTTTCTGACTCTGTAATGGGTTCTGTCCCTTCAAAGAAAGAGCTAACTTTCATCATTTCCATTGGGGCAGGGAAGAAAAGTTCTTAGGATACCAGGGAAAAAATGATGAGCACAGAATGGGGTGAAGGAAATCAATTAAAATTTTTAACATAAATTGTATGAAAGGGTTCTCCAGAGGAAGAGAGTCAATAGAATGAGATTTATTATAAGGAATTCATTCACGCAATTATGGAGGCCCAGAAGTTGCATGATCTGCCATTTGCAAGCTGGATGGAAATTCCACACTAAGTCTGAAGGCCTAAGAACCAGGGGCACAGATGAGGTAGATCCCAGTCCAATGGCAGGAGAAGGCCTGTGCCTTAGCTGGAGCAATCAGACAGAGAGAGAAAATCCAAACTTCCTCGACCTTTTTGTTCTATTTGGGCCTTAACAAGTTGGATGATACCCACCTATGATGCAGAGTGCAATCTGCTTTACCTGGTCCACCAATTCAAATGCTGATCTCTTCTAAAAAGACCCTCACAGACACACCCAGATATAATGTTTAACCAGATATCTGGGCATCCTGTGACACATACAATTAACCATCACATAAATAAAAGCTTGTTTATGGAGTACATGCCACTCCCTGCCTCACATCTAATGCCCTGGGGACAGGGACTTCTATACACATACCATGCTGTTTTCTTCCTTTTTCAGTGCTCCTCTGCCCAGAATGACCTTTTCTCATCTTCATATCTAGCTAAGTCCTAGTTACACTTTAAGACTCACTCTAAGCAGCTCTCAAGTGTGTCAGGAGCCACTCGGGACACTTCCACAATACCCTGTGCTCTTACCCATAACACTCCGTCTCACATTGCTCCTATGACACTCTGTCTAACATCACTGATTCCACAGTGTCTGTCTCTCACATTACTCTGAGTGCTTGTTAGCACAGAATCTTTGCCTAAATCACTTTGCCTAAATCACTCCCAGCCCTGTTTAAATTCTAGAACAGTGCCTAGCAAATAGTAGATGCCCAATAAATGTGTGCTGGGTGAAAAAATTATTGAATAAATGAATGAATCTCTAATATGCACTGTGCAGTGGAACATTATCATGCCCACTTTTAGACCCATGTTTTTTAAGCTGTAAACATTACCCTCAAGTGATATTGGGGACTGCTCCCTAACCCTTTGGCTTCCTACTCTTAAAGCTGACCTTTAAAACCACTACACTTAGGAGCAAGAATTCCATTTCACTAAACTTTTCTAACTCAAATAAATCTAGCTTTGACAACTCTCCAGAGTGGTGAGAAATTCAATCTCAGCCACATTTGGGGGTGTCAAAGTATAATTTTCAAAATGCTAAAAATGTAATTTTCCCATAAATACATAAGGCATCTGTGTTGAAAGATTTACGTAGCTCATGAATGAGGAAGTGCAGGATGGAAAAGCTGGTTAAAGAATG